GTCCTGCAGCATCTGGTTGGGGGGTACAGGGCAAGATGCTAGTAATGGGGCCCATCCTGAACATCCCAGACAAGGTGAGGTGATGAACCAGGTCCAGGATCTATCTAGGGAGTCCAACAAGGAGCAGCAAGAGACAGGGCTGAAGATGAGACTACACCATAGGTCCAAGGTCCGTCCAGGAGGCAAGGCTGGATAGGTCCATCTGGGAAAATACGACATATCAGGTTGGAGACTGGTACTCCTACAACATAGCTCAGGCAAGGACTGAAGATCCATGGCTGGGCTTAAGTGAGCTCCTGAGCTCCAGGGACAGGGGTTGTGGATGGAGGTGCCACATAAGGTGAAGGCCCTTAAGGTGTATTAGGGCCCTGATGAGCACAGAAAGGTTGAGCTGTGCCAGACATGAACTGCAGTGAAGTCCATAGGCTCCTTTGGACCAAGTCCTCCACTCTTCATCTTAGCTTAAACCTCATGGAGACAAAACTCCTACCATACTGGTTGGGAGTGTGGTTGTGTGAAACCTTAATGAACAGGGTATGGTGGTTTGGAGTTTGCCTCCTCTGCACCATTTGGCAGTGCTCTGCCATCCCCTTCACTTCTCCCTGGCTGACAGCAGCTTCAGTTACTGAGCTGAGCAGGAGGAGAAGGCAGTGTAGTCAAAGGAGATGACTTAGAGACAAGATCTTTAGATCCTGTATTTGGCCTGTCTGTGAGCAATGGCATGAGGTCGTCAAGCCATGCCACCTCCATCTGCCTCCATGTCCTCCTCTGCACCACCATGATGAGGACACTCACCGCAGTGATGATTAACTGCTCTGTAATGGGATGACACCAGGCAGAAGGAACAGCATAGGAAAACGCAACCAGTGAGCACATTTTCCTAGAGATTTTCCTGGAATACCCAATGTGTAATGGGATCCTGGAACTCACTTCATTATTGCTGCCAAGAGGGGGTCAAAGGGTTATGAATGTAAGAAATACCCAAAGCTGTTAAAAAGAAGAAAAAAGAAGAAAAAAGAAGAAAAAAGAAGAAAAAAGAAGAAAAAAGAAGAAAAAAGAAGAAAAAAAGAAGAAAAAAAGAAGATAAAAGAAAGAGGATTGTGGGTTGGATATAGATCTTTTTATTTCTGGTGTTTGGCCAGTCTTTTACTTCTGGGAGTCAAGATGAGATCTTTACAGGGACCAGATGAACACCATCAGCATCCACTTGGCCTTTCTCAGTCTTCTGTTGAGTTGGGGCTGCTGCCCACTGTCAGGAATAGGTCAGTGAACTTGGCAGGCTTAAAACTGATCTGGTCTGACTATTCTGTACTCCCTATGAAAACAAAGCCACCGTGGCACCACATGCCCTGTTACATGAGTTTATTAAATATGTACTTGAGCACATTCACAGCCCTGTGGTCACATTTCTGCATATAGTATCTGCGTGCTTTCAAACTGCACTGCTGCAGTTCAACAAAGTGCCATTGAATTGCGCTCCCACCGCCTCCTTGCAAGGCTTTATCAAAGCACCTGAGAAAGTTGTTTCTGCTTCTCAGTTGCTTCATCAGTCTGTACTTTGTGCTACACAGGTACTAATGAAATTGCCAGGAGTTGTGGCACAACACCTCCCTGCGGGATCACCAAGGTTTTGCTAAAATTTGCTTTGGTCCAGGTTGTGCAGGTGCTAGAAACTAATATGTCACTGAGCCAGGGGTATAAATTCAGATGGTCAATACCCTGCCATACCCTGCCTTTTATGTGTATCACCCTTTAGCCCCTGTAATCTAACCATAAAAGCATCAGTGTCTCTTACTTCCAGTGACTCTTATGGTGAGGAGATGATTTGTTTGCTCAGTGAACAAAGGTAGGAGCCATCTGCTGAGTGTTTGCCCGCGGTCGGACGTCACAGGCGGGCTTCTGAAAACACCCCCAAAGTAACAGCTCATCCGCCAGATCTGGACTTGTGTAACTGTGGCATGATGAGCACTATTCTTAGGGACAACATTTCGGTGGAGTCACACCTCCAGGAGGTGTGAATCTAGCCCCTGAAAAGAGCAGATGAGAATAATCCCTCACCCACAGACAACGTTGCTCTCGTGTCAAGCTTCGCATCTGGAGAGCTTGAGGATGACGGTGGGTAACCATGCTCAAGCCTATTCATTTAGGACACAGGTGCATGCAGGGGCTGCCCACAGTCAACCAGAAGTCTAGGGCAGATCTGGGAGTAAGTGTAAAGCTCCTGATTCCCATCTTTGTGCTTGGCCCATACGGCTGCTTTTCTTAGATGTTCGATTTTTATAAATCTATAGGAGAACCAGCAGTTCCTGTGAGGCCTCTTAATACTTAATTGCTGCTTCAAAGATATTTCCTCTCCATCACTTTTCTCACATGGGAGTCTCCCTCACTGAAGGCAGAGCATGGCGGGGGGTAAGGCAGATGATGCATTAGAGGCATTGCTTATAAATATTGGCTGTTTAATAGACTGCGGTGCTGCAGGTTCCTGAAGTACCCCTCCCATGCCCGAGTCAGGTTCTGGTATAGCTCTAAAGGACTGACAGGGTGTGATGCTGTTAAGCATCACAGAGTAGGATAAGATCAAGAGCAGAGGCTAATTGAGATTTCCCTGTAGTCAACCGAGAGCCCAAGCTGTCAAAGCACGCAGCCCTGGTGTATTGCATGAAAATGTAATTTATATCTTATACAGGGCTTCAACTATATCTGTGATGTGGGAATGCAGAGCTTTGAATTGGAGAGGCTGAAGTTTTCCCTAGTTTGTTTTTATCATTTAATATTGATATTCCTTTAGCGTCTGAGGGCCATGAACGAGTTATTTGTTAAATTAGAAATCTTCATAGTGATTATGAGGAATTCTTTTGTTCTGGTGCTTAGTTTTAATTATAGATGCTAGAATAATGAGAAGATCCACTGTAATACTCCCCTGTCCTCACCCTGAGGTCTGTAGTGTCCGAAAAGACAGTGTGTGTCAAACAATATCACAATCCTGAACTACTATGGAGAAAACATTGGCTATCCAGATTCCTGCAGTTAAGCATTTGGAAGCTGTTATGTCTGGGGTTTTTACCATGCCTAATGGCAATAGGAAAAAAAATGAATGTCTTTGGTTCATTCAGTGGTTTTCCTGATGTAATTAATGGACAGAAATAGAAGGCAGGAATTGAAATAAACCACTCCCATTCTTTTCTTATCCCCCTCTGAGACTTTTGCAGGCAAAGATCTATAAACTTTATGTGCGTGTTTACTGAGTAGTTTTTCCCATGTTGTATGTGACCCTCCAAAATCTGTTGACGCACAAAGGTCGGGTCCCCTGTACTTACTTTTTCCTGCAGCTATTGTCTTCTCTTTTTTTAAATAATTGGCCATGATATTTTTCTTCAGATTAGTGGGCATCTTTAGATCCAGTTTTTATTAAAAAAATCTGCCAGACTCTGAGTCTGGTGGACACAGGCTTGTCAAGCAATTTAGTTCTCTGTATGTTGGGTTTGCAGAGGGTGCTGCAATTCCATTGCTTCTGTTTTAGCAGTGTCTGTGCAGCCTGTGTGCAGCATATATCCCATGGTGAAGAATTTTGAAATAAACCAAATTTAACTATGTGTCATGACATTTAGATCACAGACAGAGTTAACCACACCCAGAGATGGCTACATGATGCTAGGAGACAGGCTATATTGTTTATATGATGATCACTGATAAACATCTTTTCTTGCTGGAGTGCAATCAAGGGGAGGATTTGGCTAGCTCTTCCATGAAGGGCGTTTCCATCTCTGCACTTTTATAGACTTATTTATTGGCTTGTACAAGGGATAAAACATGAAGTTAATGCTGAGGAATGTTGCTGTCCACACTTAGCAGCTCCTGTCCTCCCACCAGCTTAACAGTATCTAAAGACTATTACAATACTACAATCACCATTTTCTCTTCTGTTGAACCAGCAAATGTATTATTGAATGAAGGTGCACTGTCTAATGTCTGCCTCCTTGTGCTGTCACACCTTAGGTTCCCTGGGAGGGGGTTAATAGATGTCTTATAGGGGGAAATTTTAGATGTGCTGGCAGCAGATGGCATACATGCTTCCAGGACTAAAGCTGGATGAGTGCTTGATAAAATTCATATGAAAAGAAAGCCTAGCACACCTAAAAACTGAAGGGACAGCCCAAGCTGGTGGGCTCAGTATGATGGATTGAGCCTGTCTATCAGGTGGCAAGAATGGGACCAGAGTGCTCTGATCTTCAGGGAAGAAAGAAGAAGTTCTGTAATCTCAAGCTTGGGTTTTTCTCTGGTTTGAAGAAGACAGATAGGGGAGCAGCTATTGCTTGTGGCAGGAGGGGCCATCTGCAATTAGAAAAGGAAACTGGAAATAGGGAACAAAACTGCAGCTTACTGAAATGGTGAGTTCTTGTATTAGTGGCTATTTGCCCAGCACTACATTCAAGTGATCTTTGTGGAATAGAAACAAGCCACCTCTCCAAGCTGCTGAGTCAAGAGGCTGCTGAATCAGCTGAAAATAATAATGTCATGTTCTGCTCCTGGGAGGACCTATAGCTCCTGTGGTGTTGTCCAGCTGAGCGGTGCTTCAAAGTCTCTGACAGGTTATAGGTAATTGACCTAGTGTGTGTTTTCTAACACTGCTTTGTAGATGCTACCAGCAAAACTGTTGTGTTCTGTTTGCAGTTTTAAATTCTATTTGTGCATTGTTTAAGTAGGAAGACTTAATAAAGGGAAGATGTGTCTCTGTTCGTGAGTGACTACATGTACCTGTGTCTACCTGCAGTTGCACTGGCGTAAACTGAGCATCATGTTTTCACCAATTCTGAGAGGAATTCTGTCTGTTTATCCAGGCTTGGCTTGATTGTGTGGGGGAAAAGGAAATGGTTTCTGAGCTGCTCTTGGAAACAATGCTATTGCTAAATATAAGCAAGTAAAAACACAGTTGAAATGGGTTGTGCTGTAATTTTGTTTCCTGTTTTACCAATCCTATTTATTTTCTTTTTTTCCTACAGAACAATTCAATTAAAACATCGAAATACAACTTCTTCACTTTCCTGCCTCTCAACCTGTTTGAACAGTTTCAGCGAATAGCCAATGCTTACTTTCTTTTCTTGCTGATTTTGCAGGTATGAATTAACTGTGCTGTTTCTAGCAGATTGCGTTGTCTGTTATCAAAGCTTGTCTATGTGTTGATAGTTGTAATAAAGTGCAAGCTATATCCCTGTTATGAATTGGTGTCTTAGTAAAACATTAAAGTAGACAGAAAGTAGGGCAGAAAAAAAGCAATTCCATCTCTTACCTTCAGATATGAGGGTTTGAACTAAATGAAGAAAAAAATTTAATTGAAGTTTTCAACAAATTGTGTACCTTTTTCATGCCCTGTCCTACTACCCCTTTGTGTCTACATCCGAGTGCTTCTGCCTGTCCTCGGATTTGCATTACTTATTCCTCCTGTAGTACAAAAGGAGGTTGTGTCTTACCCATAGGTTTAAAGGCAAATTCCATTGTCAGTCTCAACGGAGGCAGCAAGAAGAACAAATTTGTAACCTGTACTGTTTCCCTGGGAAGGAAGGAGTTAACATCAGGAAGGCTCAGGGTTTGAGCTAGTTTGCATAGAGCTGAATATTGCTGCTCCTTGCACAGCAGGGTGAGGAAGGTGTCTAATAGGAGCGTGTCAGACACTGGCAACACTACTGAACCTTGTGGCTCATAATGGCATTGAGTTGCACTTTGCCCATTGCTGTTGGTAATACTACTCTGTCTGAAAGCCGAACGCACCGGAGAAATTGATACCAGGATTGCTGCCCCTTTGCACTTTGCTCAAATATAGATAAATGCAGTGTAGTCTGTTGTTGCTGACTCATACTGGAATATATGTTATAAAAAAAAAAGTATAATTTTGATTATGTTTCAAGTATGATATTTTAAATTTTACTGTTTCAGTGCACACAAGTTTGCAAAATCACCTTTTCAAATGCTGTTTTTCAATTTCAGCTCAAAAAAGCGTGGGCAAAATTTTGTTAAGCCTGTAGCAAACTACATACAATCTTCTTTGCTTATTTACAGGGAATGAATTTGGGAAATTTCAGCCCACGTATATTTTTCAAGAAACTAGTGAAAGTGCCTTTTCAGCTAAGCTGACAGCACTGTTCCTGTGTTGTTGTGCTGCACTCTAGCTGTTCGTCTACCAAATTCATAGTATTTCAAACTATTTGTCTTAAATTATTCCACTGTGTCTTCTTTTCAACCATCTGGGAGCGACTGTATATAAAAGCATACAGCTTTTTCTGCTACCTGCGTCAAAGGTAGGCTAAAGAGGGCAGCTATTAGCCTTTTACATTTACAGATCCCTTCATTTAGTTTTTGCCCTCTTGTGCCCACTCACTCCATCCCTGTAGCACTGGGAGTATCTCTTCCTGCATTAGGAGTGGATGTGGCTGTGGGGACTCTGCCTCCCCACGCCTTTGGCACAACCCAGCAGGACATGCCTATTCCCGGTTAGGTGAGAACGTAGCAGTTACGTGTCTCTGCAGCCTCCACAGCTGAGCAGGGCTGTGGAGCTTGCCTCTAAACATCATTCCTCCTGGCTGGATTTGGTGGTGCCTGTAGGGTCTGGGTTGTGACAGTGCAGCAGAAGGAGCGATCTCAAAGAGCAGCTCTCCATCCTTAAGCAGCTGCTTTAGTGGCATAAATGTCAACTTCACAATGCACATGGAGTTGACACTGCCCAAATCCAATCTGATAGACACAGTGAGGCAGGTATTACATTGCTTCCATCATTATTGCTGTTCTTCTAGAGGAAGGGGAAAACTATGCTGGGTAAGACGTCTACCTCTGCATCACTGAAGGCATGACAGAGTCACCTTCAACTCTTGGGTCCTCTCATTATTAAAGATGTGGGAAACAAAAATGGCTCTGTTGATCTTGGAAGAGCAAGGTCACCCCTGGCAACAGCTGTGTGCTGTTTATTGATACGAAGTTTACTTCAGCAAAATGTGAAGAGTTACTGAAACTAAAAATAGAAGCATTTGGAGGCTCTGCACAGCAGGCCTTGCTCAGATAGCTCTGGGTCCCTCGCAGCAGGCTTGCCCATGTCAGTGCCTCCCGAGGATCCACTGGGGACTTTGCAATCCTGATGTTACATACAATAAGAAAGAGCAACCCGCTGCACTTCCTGACAGTTCCATGTTTATATCCTAAATTACAGTTTGTTTTGTAAGCAAAGTGTGGGTTCCCTGGCTGTCCCACCTTTGTGTGTCACATATAAGTGACAGAGCTGCATTTCTGTCTTTATTTTGTACTCAGGTAGCATAGAAAAATGTTATCTGCAGCTTCCACAGAAAACAGTGTTTTGTATCCATCTGTTTGCTGAACTGGCCAGGAATTTCTCAACTCAGATCTTTTCTTCCTACAGTTGATTCCTCAGATTTCCTCGCTGGCCTGGTTTACGACAGTGGTGCCCCTAGTGCTGGTGCTGGCTGTATCAGGAGTCAAGGATGCCATCGATGATTTTGTAAGATCTGTATTGCTTTGGAGTTTGCCTGTGATTCTTCAACACAATGACTAAAGCAAACCACTTAAAATAAACACAGCCAGTGGCAGGCAGTTGGAGAACTGGTCTGTGGCCAAGATGGGGTCTGAGATTAGATCTGCAAATCTATGGTTTGTTACCTAAAAAGGAGCTAGAATTTCCAAATTGCTGAGCTGCCCAGCAGCTCCGTTGACTTTCTCTGAAACTGCCTAGCATGTCTGAAAATGTGGTCACTGATAGATATGTCTGGACGCATGCACAGAAGTCTATTCTTAGGCTTCCACTTTGAAGAACTCATCCTCTGCCATCTAGCTGCAATGTAGGCAGAAAAAAACATTTGGTAGGAAGTAAGCATACAACCTGTGTGTGATTTTTAAAACTTGCACAGCTTTGGCCAGAGACAGCTCCCATCAGAGCTAATGTTCAAACTCCCATTGACTTCATGGGGTGATGTTAGAGCTGAGTTTAGCATCTGATTTTCTCTTGTTATTAAACAATTTTGATGCTCTGCGGAGACTCAGTTCAACTTTCCAAGTAGGCAGTGAGAGGTGGCAAGGTGCTCTCCCAGAAAGCAATGCCAAAACATCTGTGGCCACTTTCCGTATCAGAGCAGAGGAATGGATTTCTCTGGGTGCTTAGCTTACAAAACTGTGACGGGCAGGACCAACACCAGTTGAGCCAGGACTGTGCTAAGTGACATATAAGGCTTTACCCTCCTTCTTCCCTCCAAGAGCAAGCCCCATGTTGCCTGTTGCTCTTTGCAGCCCAGTTATGCCCTATGTTACTAGTGTAAACGTGGGCTCAACTTCGATTCAGTTGTGACTCTAATCTGCCTGACCCATTCAGCCTGCTGAGTGAAAACCTAAAATGTTAATGAACTGCCTACAGCTCTTGTGTGCTTTGTTTCCTGGAAACGCTTTTTAATGTACTGATCAAATTTTCAGAATCGACACAAAAGTGACAAACACGTCAACAACCGCCCAGTCCAGGTCCTGATCAATGGCATGTAAGTCCTTTTTCTTTTGCTGTAATTTTGACTGGGAAGAGCATTTTATTAATAATAATTTTTTTCTGTGTGCTTCTCAAGGATCACTAAACAATTTAAAATTGAATTGTCTTTCATACCATTAGTTCACCATGCAGTTCTGGACTATGTGTCTGATAATGAACCCAAGACACAGTACCTCAATCAGTACAGACATTATGGCTGTGACCTTGCACTGACAAAAAGTAAACTCTTTCTGTTCCTGGATATATATATGTTTAAATAAGTGATACTTTGAGAGTACTGTATTATTTTACTCCTTACCCTAGAAGTGACAAGCAAGGCTATCTTCCAATGTCCGTTTATGTTCATAGTATTTATTTCTGCCTTAAGCAAAACTAGGCATTATCAACAAGTTATTTTAAATTAAGAAGCAGGAATAGCTTCCTCATACATGTCATAATACTTTGAGTGTGTGTAGCACTTCTGACTTAGATGTACTCAAAACATTTCAGCTGTCTGCTTAGGACATTGTACTGCTAGCACTGTTCTTTCCTGCAGAAAAAATAGCAGAGGCTTTGGCTTTTATGGCAGACAGATGTGCTGTTTACTTGCGGCTCCATGGAGTCCAACTGTGTGTAGGACACAGCTGTAGACAGCTGTGAAGTCTCTGGTGACTTTTTTTTCTGTACTATAGATAGCAGTATGTTGTGTAAACTCCAACAGATGATCAAACAGTTAAAATTATAACTGGAAACTGAAGAATAAGAACATACTTTTTGTGCTTTCTGCTAAGTAAACCAGTTTCTTAGTTTACTGTGTATTAGTTACTGTGTCTAGGAAACATACATTGAAATAGGAATTTTCTAATATTTTGCCTTTGTTAGAAAACCGGAAACCATAGGTCCTGCCTAACTCCGACCAACACTGAAAAAGCAAGGCTGAGCTGAACTCAAGCTTGAATACCCAGTCCTGTTTTGACGTAGCTCTTGATATTTCTCACCTCTAGATTTGCTTATACAGCTATCATGACTTGGTTACATTGGCGCTTGCAGTTTAGCTGGCTGTCTGCATGCATATCCTGCTTAGTGCTTTGAAGGCCACTGCAGACATGAGCTTAGCTAGGCACGTGCACAGCCAAAGCACCTGCATTGACCTTCCTGACAGCCAGGCCCACACAGAACCAGATCTGTTGCTTTGGCCCTTAACATCACTTAGAAAAACTAACACAACTGGCAATTTTCCCAGGTGTTTGGGCAGTATTTTATGCAAAGTAGAGTTTTTTCCTGAGTCAGTATGGTCCTTTAGGGAGAAGGAAGGGAGTAGTCAGTCCAGACAGAAGGACAGTGGATGTGGACTGTGCTGCTGTTGTGGGGCTTCATCTCAGCCCTGCACAGGTCACCCCAACCACTGTTACCACTTCTTTGTATTGTGGTGGTCCCTTAGCTTAGTATGGATCACACCACATCATGGCAGACCCTGGTCCATCTTATCAACAGCCCAAGTCCTGATGGCACCTACAGTCTGACTTCAGGAGCAGAGCTAAGTATACTACTTTCCCAAGTGGTGTTTGCTTTATGTGCCTACTTACTAGGAGTTTTCTTGCAGGTTAAAGGATGAAAAATGGATGAATGTCCAAGTGGGGGATATAATAAAACTAGAAAACAACAACTTTGTGACGGTGAGTACGGTTTCTCTCCACCCTGATCACAGTTAGTGTCTGTAATTACTCTTACCACTCACAAGCAAATGAGGCAGTAGTGATGATAACTGCCTCAGAGACATGCATTGTGGTGCCATGCCCTCTGACCGTGTGAACTCATGCAAAGTCTGTCTGTCTGTGCTCAGGCCGATCTACTGTTACTGTCAAGCAGCGAGCCACACAGCCTGACATACATCGAGACAGCTGAACTGGATGGGTAAGTGAGCCTGGCCCTTGGGTGCAATCACTTCTGCCAGTGCAAGGCCAAATCTTCTCTGGTGACCCTGGGTGCTGCAACTTTACCTGCATTAGGTTTTGTAGCAAATTTCCTAATACATAGAATAAACTTTAGGTAGGTATCCTGAAAATAACGTCTTCTGGTGGATAGTTTTGCCTCTTTCAGTGTGCTGTGGTTCAACCCCAGCCAGCAACTAAGCACCACAAAGCTGCTCACTCACCCCGGGCTCCCCCGGTGGGATGGGGGAGAGAATTGGAAGAGTAAAACTGAAAGAAAACCTCCTGGGTTGGGATAAAGACAGTTTAATCAGTAAAGCAAAAGCTGCATGCACAAGAAAAGCAACACAAGGAATTAATTCACTCCTTCCCATCCGCAGGCAGCTGTTCAGCCATCTCCAGGAAAGCAGGGCTCCATCATGCGTAACGGTTACTTGGGAAGACAAATGCCATCACTCTGAACATCCCCCCCACCCCTTTCTTCTTCTTCGCCCAGCTTTATACACTGAGCATGACATCATATGGTGTGGAATATCCCTTTGGTCAGTTGGGGTCAGCTGTCCCAGCTGTGTCCCCTCCCAGCTTCTTGTGCACCCCCAGCCTGCTCGCTGGTGGGGTGGGGTGAGGAGCAGAAAAGGCCTTGGCTCTATGTGAGCACTGCTCAGCAGTAACTAAAACATCCCTGTGTTATCAACACTGTTTCCAGCACAAATCCAAAACATAGCCCCATACTAGTTTCTATGAAGAAAATTAACTTTATCCCAGACAAAACCAGCAAGTGCCCCCTCTCCATCCCACTGAAATTGCTGGTTAGAAATAAGCTAAAAGTAAATACATATATTTCCTTCTCCCACGTCTCACGTGAGGGAGGGGACTTTCCCTTTTTTTTTTTTAGTGACAGTTCTTCTAACACCACAATTTAGTTTGAAATGTGTTCTTGCAATATTCCAGGTCACTGACAGAAGCTTTCTGTTTCTCATGTGTCCCTTAGTCTTTTCTCTTAGCCATATTATCTGGGTGAGATAATCACAGTTAATAACTCCAGTAATCTCCTTTGGACTGCTATACCATAATATTAATGCATGCACACTGCAAAGGCTTCCAAACACTGCTCAGTCCAGGGCACAACTGACCAGAACTCATAGGGTTGCAACTAATTTGTATTAATTGGAATAAACTGGATCTGACCTCATCTTTATGACCCAATTTGCATTACCTTTTTTGCATTGCCTGGAGCTAGCATCAGCTTGAAGGACTAAGCAAAACCAGAGATATCAAGAAATCATGTGTCTCCCAATACCATACAGACAGCCCTCTGGACTTTCCGCATCTGTTTTCTGCCGAAAATGAGCTTGTAGTTCCTGTACATGCAAGTGCCAGGAGGCCCTGAACAAATGCAGTGTGTCTTTGACATTGCCTTTTGAACTCCCCAGCTATCTATTCCCAGGGCTGGAGTACTCTTCAGGACCAGAATACCATGGGAGAAGATCCAGAGCTCTCCTATATGCTCAGATAGGTTCGGTGTGGTAAGAAAGGCAGGACAGAGAGTGAGCTGCTCAGGGAGCCGAGATGCCTGGTCTTTCACTTTGTAGTGAAAATGAGAAGACAGAGCCACCTCACTCTCTTTGGTACCATGGTACCATGTCCAGAATTCCTCTGGCTTGCCTGTCTTTGCAACTGAAAGAGACAATTACACCCTTTGGCCAAGTAAAAAAGGCCAATGATGGCATGGTCCATCAGATGTCTAAAGCAGAAGACTGTCCTCAAGAACAGAAGTGACTTTCAGGGAGAGCTTTCAGTTCACATAGGACTTTCAGTTCATGTTTTTGTCTCATGTTATTTGTTATAGTGAAACAAACCTGAAGGTGAAGCAGGCACTGACAGTCACTGCAGAGCTTGGAGAAGATCTTCAGAAACTGACAGAGTTCAATGGTGAGTCTACATGGAAAATGCACTTCCCAGAGGATTTGCGCAAACACCAGAGTCTAGAGAGTACCTGGAAGTCTTGCTTCCAGGCTGTCCCTTGCTCCCTGCCAGGATTCTTCTGAATGCAGGAGCAGGAATACAGAATGGTCGTGTTGCAGTCTGTACAACAGATATAAACAGCATAGACAGAGAAAGAGATCCCTCTTCACTTGCAGGTCTTGGTGCCATGCGTGACTATAACCTAAAACTGCATTGGTGGGAATTCTCCTTCTGGCTGCACACTTTTCTTTAGCATCTGTCTGTACACATTGAGACTACCCACCTCAAACTTCAATACAAGAATCTGTGTAATTGCACAGTGGAAACTGTTTTCCCAAAACTGCATTGTTAGTTCTGATCTCAAAATATTTTCACACTGCACTTCTACACTGATGCAGCAATGTTGATACATCGATTACATTTAGCTTCTGAGCAGCGGCACTTTCCAGACATGGTGCAGACTAACTGTGCACACAGGACAGGTGGCTACTTCCCAGCCTGAAGTCTTGCCCTGCCAGCATTTCTCTCCTCTCTCGATGCCACAATAAAGACTGCATTTTACGATATTTAAAGACAAGCAGCGCAGATGTGGTTAACGCACAATGTGTGCTTTCTTAGCACTGTTTTGTATATAAAATATAGAATAGAATAGAAGCAGAATACACTATTTCAGCTGGAAGGGACCTGCAATGATCATCTAATCCAACTGCCTGACCAATTCAGGGCTGACCAAAAGTTAAAGCATGTTGTTAAGGGCATTGTACAAATGCCTCTTAAACACTGACAGGCTTGGGGCATCAACGACCTCTCTAGGAAGCCTACTCCAGTGTTTGACCACCCTCTTGGTAAAGAAATGCTTCCTAATGTCCAGTCTAAACCTCCCCTGGTGCAGCTTTGAACCATTCCCACACATCCCATCACTGGATACCAGGGAATATATAGCAGCACATACACAGAAAGGAGCCAGACCGGTCAAAACCAGAATACTCCATGCTCATACATCATCTGTCTGCAGAAAGAGGATGGGTGAATAGACCAAGTGGTGTTAGTCACGCTCCGCAGTGCTCTGCTAGCTTAGGTACGAGGGCAGGATTACGAGAAGAGTCTGTGTGGAAAGGGGTGGAGTGAGTGCTGCTGTCCTTGGAAAGTCTCAAGGACTGCAGGCTCTCAGAAAACGTTTTTAGATAAAGAGGAAAAACAATTTTTAAAAAATTCTCTTTGAAATAACTAGATGATTCCAGGACAAATGGTGGGGACATGGCAGAGAGTTAGCATAGCTCAGACTGTCTCTGGTAAAGTCATCCAAAGGCATGGCCTTTTCTTTTGCTTTCTACATTGAGGTTTTATGAAATAATGTGTGTGGTCTCAGCTGAGTGTCAGCTCAGTACATCAGGATTTCTCTGAAGTGATGGCTGAGGTTCTGAGTAGTTTAGGTCTTGAGAAACATGTTTTTACAGGTGCAGTTAGATGCTTTATGTTAATAGTCAGTGGCATGCTTTAATTATTTTCCTGAAGAGGCTGCAGTGTGTATCAATTTGTAAGCAAAATCTTCATCTTAAACAATTTTTCAAGCATTTCCTGTGTAATGCTTATCTAAGGATACTGCATTCTTGAAACTGCATAATTTAAAAAATGTTTTAAAATATTTTGGAAAATTAAAACTTTTAAAATCAAATATTTATTTGTCCTTTAAATCTCTATTTTAATTATACTGTAAATAAAAGTGGCCTCTTCGCAATACTTAAAATGAATAAAATGTTTCCCAGGATAATTTATATTTGGCAGAGTACTGGGAAGAGTGCCTGGAATCAGACCCAACCTTGCATTTCCCCAGCAAACCCCTGTAGAAGTATTTAAATATTTATGTAACTCTTTATCTAATTACTTCTTAAGACAGGAAGCGGGGAAAGGGTTAGGCAGCTAATATAGGCACTCAGTGGAATGCTTAACATGAGTTATGATGTTTGTTGACATCGCAATAGTTCAGATAAGGAAGATGCTTGCAAAACTCAGAACTTTGTTTGATTTGGGGAAATGGTAGATGAGAAAGGAAACAATACCTTTGAGTTACCTACTACTTACCATATGTAGACTTGGCAGTATTTAACTCTTTCAGGTGAAATGTATTCAGGTATCATCTTGCTGTTAATGGGAAGAAGAGACAGGAGGCACGGTGCCTTGCTGAGGTATCTTCAGCTGCAGAGTTGCAGCGTCAGTGCAGGTATATTGGCGGAATCTCTAGAGCAGAGTGATCAGTCCAATTTGGATGAATCTCTTCTGATCTCAAAATCAGCATAACAGCAAGCCAGATCAATCTGCTTACTGGAAAGCAGATGTGGATGTTGACATGCAAGGTGCTAACACGAGTGTTGTCCCACAGCTGGCATGAGGAGAGGCACAGGCTTCCTGGTGAGGGGTCATGCCCTGGGTGTTGTTCACCAAAGTCTCACTGTGCTGTATTTCAGGTTGCACTGCAAAGCCTCTGTTTTCTTTGTGCTTTTCAAGGGGTTGCAAGGCCTGTAGTGAGACAGGTGTGGTTACTGTAGACTTTCAGAACTGATGGAGTACGGGTCTGATTGTTCTTGGATTAACTAGATGATAAAATAGAAGATCAGCATAGTTGTTAGTATGAGCTCTGATGTCACACATGTCACAGAATTTCACAGTTGTTTCATCTTTCAAGTCTGATGACTTATCTGCCCTAGAGTAGAGCTTCTTTTCTATTATAAGAACATCCATTCTTGATTTTAGAATTTGTAGTGGTGGAGACTACCATAATACTTAAAGTTGTACTTTTTTTTCTGTACTTCTCTGGATTTTGCTTCCAGTCTGTTGAGCTTGATGTATTTTGTCTGAGAACATCTGGAAAAGCTGTATTCTCTGCAAATGCTCATCCTTATGTAGATATTTGCAGCCTGCAATCAAA